AACTCTGAACATCTTCAGTTCATTTCTCATAACAGAGATCTAAAATATTGATCCAGTTGGTTTTACTCAGCTTTTTATGACTTGAGATTTTATCTGTGTAGCCATCTTTGCTGCAAACAAGAACACGCTATGCCTGCTGAGAGCAGCTGGGCAACAGTGTAGTACATTTAAACGTTTGGGAAGAGGAGGGAGCGAAATCCGGTACGAAGTGAATTTCCAGGCTATTTTGCTTTGAGCAGAAAGTCTCACTTCTAGCTTTTCTCAGCCGTCTGCCCTTCTATTCTCGAAGGAGTACGTGGGAAAAAGGTGTTCTAGCAGGGATACACGTAGTTTGTGCTGTCTGAATCGATGATGTACGACGCACAGATTGAAGCATGAGAAACATGCCTGCCTGCCTTTTGACAGTCTCTTTAATTCCGTCCACCTATGCTTCCAGAGTAAATAAAGCTATTAAAAACACGTGCTGTGGCAAGCCATTTTAGTCATTCGTTCCTTCACACGGTAAGTTATCAGTCAGGGCTGAATTCCTCCTCTGGAAATGGAGTGAAGCTGAGGAAGCTCTGCACCTGAGAGACCGGTGCGTACTCGTATGATGTTTGCCTCCAAAGCAGAATTCGCTTCGGACTGTGGCTGCGGGGCCGGGCACTAAGCAGGCGTGTCGCTGCGTGGTAGAGCATCCGTAGCAGCGGTTGGGAGGATTGCTCCAAGCGTTTGCTTCTTCCCCAGTTTTGTTAGCTGCAAACTGGTTTAAAGGAAATAGAGAGCAGTCGTGGAGAGTTGGGTGTGTGTATCCCACTGCAGAAGGATGGAAGCAATGTCTCCGGAAAGTTGCTGCCTGATGTGAGTGGCCCATGTGGAGGCACTCCGCTGGAGTCTTGTATAGTTGGCTGAGAAACAGCAGTGTCAAAAGGTTTTTATACATCAACTAGTAATAATGGTAGTAAACCCAAACCTTGTATGTAACCTTCCTGTGCTCTTATTTAGTTTTCACTACGTACTTATTTTATTCTTCGAACTGGAGTTGTTAACAAATCCATTAATCCTTCTTTGATATTTTTACAACTGGGAGCTTATTTGAGGACTGACACTTGCTAATCGTAGCTGTTTGTTCACTGTGAAATGAACTTAAATTAGAGAATGCGCTTTATATGCATGATAAATGCAAGATGGATAGAGAGCGTGTGCAACGGTGTCAGCGACAAAAGCAAACATGATAAATGTTAAGGCGGTTTTGAGCCGTGGGATAAGCTGTTCAGTGCACAAGCATAGCTGAATCTCTTTGCGATGTTGTTATTCATGGCAGCCAAATAAATGTCAATAATAAAAGAGAATTAAAGATTTTCATTTCCCAGAGGCAGTCCTCTAATACAGCTTGATCTTTCATTTCATTTGTAATTCGCTCTCATGTCAGGACGCAATCACTCGCCAGGCTCTGTGTGTCATGTTAAGTCATTTAATAATGATTAAGAACATAAAAATGTTTGTCCTGTGGGGCAATTCTCAAAAGAGATACCAATTTGTTATTGATTTCCCCCTTTTGCCTTCCTTTGGTGTGGAGCATCTTTTTTCCCACCTCCTCACATTAAAATAATAATGAAAGAAGGAGAGTGTATCCCTTAATTTAATGTACGATGATATCCCCGAATGGCGTAGGGTACTGCTAACACACTTGTTTCAACATTCACTAGGTCGAGTTGTGCTTGGAAACCTGCAGTGGAAAGTGTAAAAAGTTTCTAAATGATCTTTGGAAGAATTATTGCATTTAAGATTAGTTAGTTACCGGTATAAAATTAATTTCCTTTTTGTAATGCACTGCAGAGGAGTACATTTTTTGGAAAAGCAGGCTGCGTCTAGTTCTTTGTCCTGCCTTTGAGGAAACGACGTGGTCTCAAAGAGTTTGTGCCTAGTCAGCTCTGGATTTGGATGTGCTTGTTGGTACCTTCTGCTTTATATTTCATCCAGGTGAATAATAATGCAAACAACGTGTTTGTTAGTTGGAAGATGTTTCTGTCAGTGCTGACTCAGCCAGAGGGGATCAGTCTCCAGGCAAAGGACTCTACTCTCTCTTCCCCTCTACTGCTGCGCTTAACCGTCCTCCTCCATCAGCTGTTGGGCAGATCACAGATTCCAGTGGGCTTAGTTTAAGTCTGGAAGAGTGCAGGATGGAGCTGGAGCTTACAGGTGCGACAGTAACAGACTCCCAAGGTGGATGGGGGTGGGTTTTCTACCTTTTGTTCCTCCTTCTCTTCTCTTCCCTCTGAGGTGACGGAGCCCTGGCCCAGGCTGCCCAGGGAGGTTGTGGAGTCTCCTTCTCTGGAGATATTCAAGACCCCCCTGGACAAGGTCCTCTACAGCCTACTGTAGGTGACCCTGCTTCAGCA